AGCTTTAAAGACAACTTGGCATACAGTGAAAGAGGAAAGACATCCAAACCACTATGACATGATGTCTGTTGTTGTTTGAGATGTAAAATACACATTACCTTTATGCTAAATGAGCGTTCAGGTGCACAGTCACAATTCTCAGAAATACTGTACTTGAACTGCTTACTTCAATGCAGGTCTACATGATTTGTTTTAAAATCATTCAAAATATCAGTGGGATTTTGTATCACTGTCTGCTCTCTGTTCTCATCACACTGTTTAGATTAGTTGTCAAATAAAAAATTCAAATCAGTGACACTCAAACACGATGAGATGGAAGAGACATAAAGGTAAGCAGCTGGGTAGAACGCAAAAACAAGGAGGATGTGATAGTTATCTGACAGATACTCGGGTGTAGGGCTCGATAGTTTTGAAGCCTGTTTGACATGTATTCAGTCTTGAATTTTTTTTTTGTCTTGACAGCTTTGTTGTAGTTAATGAGCTTGTTTGCAAGCAGTGGTAGCCTGTCATCTTCTCCCCATCTCTTAACATGTCCCCTCTCAATGACTAGTGGGTTTTTTTAAAAACCTGGGGAGTGAGATGCAGCTATTGCTGCCGTGCATTATGTTTTCATCACTTCTCCTCATTGCTTTCTCCCACCTTCTCACATCCTTTCCCTCCTTATCATCCGCATAATTAAGAGAGAAGCTGTTGTTTCTATCTAACTGTAACAGCTACCACAAACTCTCTGGATCCACTTTGCCAATTTTTACTCCATGTCAAAATAATATTGACAAAACCTTTCCATTCTGTGTCTGGAGTCCTTACCACCATCACCTCCAGCCAGAAGTCTTCTGATATATAAAGCATGCCCTCTGGTAGAGCATAAAAGCAAACTGCTTAAGTTGCTAACACTGGCATCATGAAGTATGGCCATGCAGACCAATGGTTCTTGTACTAAGACAGATGTGTAGCTGGGGGGCACCACGGCAAAGGGTAGGGTCAGGTTTTGAATGATCGTTTCTGAATCAGTATCCAAATCTTTTTTTTTTTAATCCATAACCAAATCTGACTATGTTGACTTTAAGTATTTGGAAGTAACTAAAGTTATAAATAACTAAATATATACAAATATTAAATTAAAATATGCAAACTGTTTAATTAACCAAGAAGGTATAAATGTGATAAGACAGACAATAGAGACTCACAAACTCAGCAGCAACATGAATTATAGTTGGCAATGTTTATGGGTGTGAAGCTGGAGTGTGTCCTGTCTTTATTACTGCCTTAGAGACTCGCTCTGCTTGGTTAGGGCACCTGTGCTCAGGGGTATAGGACTCTTTATGTTACAAACCTCTCTGTTATGCTGTTCTAGTGAAGCTCCTCACAGGTAACAGTTGACAGGATGTATGTATGACAAGATCACGACCATGAATGTCCAACTCAGAATACTGGGCTGAGCAGACTGAATGGCTGTAGGGGCTGTTTCCCCTCATTTAATCCATTCACTTACTGTGACTCATCTACACTTTATTTCAGCTGCAAATGGCTGCTCATATGGTTAATATTTTCACCGAACAACTGCAAAGCCAACTCCTCCTGCCACAGTCATACACGTACACATATTGTCACACTATTTTTGCTTTGAAGTATGCTGTATAACCTCATTAGTGGCTTATGAATCTTTAAAAATACCTCTTTTTTTTGAAATTCCAGATAGAAGGAGAGGAGCCTGATACTGTATCTGTCCCACTGGTCGTAAAAGAGGAAGGAGAAAGCTCGAGTATTATTCAGTCTATTCAATTAGGCAACATATATAAATAGAAACACTTACGTAAGTCAGCATGGGAGGGAAAGA